TAATTAAACTAGAGGGGCTGATTTGTAATTATGTGATAGTTACAAAATAAGGTAAGGATTATCTTATTATTAGGGTGAACGAATTTGAGGTGATAAGGCCTTAGAATTCGACTATGATAAGGATTTAAAGATTATCTTATGTGTTGCTTTGTGGATAAGCATCTAGATAAGGATAATGACTAAAACCCTATCTGCACCTATATAAACACCCCTTGGCACATGAATTCGTGTATCCCTTCCCAAGAAGTCCTAAGGACGAATTCTAACCTCTCTCCTCTCTCTTTATACCTTTTCCATTTGCTCTTGGTGTTTGTAAACCATTAGAGGAGTGACACTTGTGACTCTAAGCATTCCAAAGTCAATTCAAGGAGGAATTGGGATTGTTATTGCTACATAACAATCAAGGTAATATCTTAAACCTAATTATATGTTAATATCGATTTCCATATGCTAGAATTAGGGTTTATAGTCTTGGATTCAAAGCATGTACAATAGAGAAACCTAGATCCAAGCATTAGGGTTTGTATGAGCACATAGGATGTCTTATGACCAAAACCCATCACCACCCCCGTAACCAGAATCTCCTGGAGGAAAAACGTGACTTGAGTGTATAGATCTATACGGGATTGACTACCTCGCACCTGGCTGCTAGCTACAGTGGGGTCGACTGGTCCACAGGTGACAAAAGTCATAAAACGATATTGGCCCCGTTACGCGCCTTATCTAGTTTATTGTATGGTTATAGAACTCGCAACTTAGATTATGGAAACTTTTACTGCTTACTTATTAGTTTTATATACGTGTTAAAACTAATGTACTTTTCAAGGATAACCAGGCTTTCAAGATATTTCACTTAGACATTATAAGTATGATAGATACTTGTACACCGCATTCCGAATTGATAACCAACCATCTACTTTTAAGGAAAATAATGGTTTTTCCTGGGATAACTTAATTGTTCTTAACCAAGTTGTGTAAGAAATGGATAACTAAACTTTTCATATAAGAAAATATGAGATTTTCTTGGATAACAACGTTTTCGGAAAACCAAAGGAAACTTGTTCTTTTACAGAAACAAACCGCTTATGAACTTATTAGCTTTATGCTGATATTTTTAAAATTGCTTGTATTCTCATGTCAACATTAGACAGGTATTCCGCAACCCTTTTGGAGAAGACGGAGCATTTTAACAGTTTGGTCTTTACTTTTGTTATACTAATGTATATATAAAACATATATTACTTTGTAAATATTCTTATGTAATGTAATGGTTGTGTTTACTATGCTTACTATACATTGGTTGTCATACTTTACATAACGTCCTCCGCCCCGGAACGTTTCCGCCATCGATTTCGGGGTGTGACAACCATCCATCATGACCCGCTTCTGTTACCATTCGATTTCATAAATTACAGAAGTAAAACTTCGGTTGGAGACTAGGGCTATCACATGCGTGATGAATTCCGAAATCACCGAAGCTCTAATTTTGAGGTACACAAAAGGTGACCTATGATTTTATTCTATTGGATTTAAAATGAAGTTATACTTTGAGATTCAACTCCAAGCTATAACATTATACAAAGATAATGATTACTTGATATAAAGATTTAAGATAATTATAGAACATCTAAAAAATATTAAATATAAAAATTTTGACGAATTTATTATTATAAAATTTTATAAAAATAAGATTTTTAAGATAATGGTTACTTGATATAAGGATTTAAGATAATTATAGAACATCTAAAAATATTAAAAATAAAGATTTGACGAATTTTTTATTATAAAATTTTATAAAAAATAACATTTTTAATTTTTAATCATTTTAACATAATTGTTATGTCGATCGAATATAATCATATAAAAAAAACAAAGTTCTAAACACAAATGTTTAACGGATTGGATAGAGATATCCTAAAAAAAGGTTCAGTCTTCAATAAAAATGAGTCTCAAACGGCAAGCAACCGTCGATGGTTACGAAGACGCCACGCCACTTCTTCCATCTTTCTCGACGTGAAATCGGAGAAAAAAGTAATAAACAAAACAGCAAAACCCCGTATGTAATTGGCTGCGGTGGCTGATCGGCACCCAAATCGAAGAAAGTGTCATTTTCTGCAACGCATAAAGATTCCAAGTAATATTCTTTAGGATATGCCGATATGCCATCAATCGAACTTTAAAACCACGTAGACCTCCACATTCCACCTTCGATGTAGGAAAATGATGTTCAAGAGAGAAGGAGGGAGTGTGATTCTGATTGGGTTTTATTGTTATGTGTTAATTCTTTTGGGTTTTGTTTTCGGCGGTGAGATCGTCAAAGGTGACGGTGGTATTCCGACCACTCTTGACGGACCTTTTACGCCGGTGACGGTGCCACTGGATGAGAGTTTTCGTGGGAATGCGGTGGACTTGCCGTCCGATGACCCTCGTGTCCGGAGAACTGTTAACGGGTTTCAACCTGAACAGATATCGATTTCTCTTTCCACCACCCATGATTCTGTTTGGATTTCATGGGTTACAGGTACTAATCTTTCCGATAATGATTAGGTTTTTGATAAGAACAAATTAGGAATTACACCTCCGCTTTCGTTAATTTACTCTCATATGCTTTAAAAGACAATCAAAATCACGAAATTTCACTGTCGCTCTGGTTAATGCTCGCTTTGGAGTTTGAATTTGGGATTTTTTAGATTATTTGAAGGAGAAATGATCAAAAAAATTCTGAAATATGCAGGTGATTATCAAATTGGTGACAATATAAAACCCTTAAATCCCGAAAGCGTAGCTAGTGTTGTAGAATATGGAAAAGTAAAATCTATGAAGAAACAAACACAAAAAACAGAGGGTTACTCTCTGATTTACAATCAGCTATACCCATTTAAAGGCCTTCAAAACTACACTTCTGGTATCATCCACCATGTTCGACTAACAGGTTAGTTTCTAAAAGTTTCAATTTCTTGATTTTCATATAATAAAAGAAATCTCAAATCTTGGTGTATGAATCTTGCAGGATTATCTCCAGATACTGTTTATTACTATCGATGTGGAGATCCTTCGATTAAATCAATGAGTGGTGTTTTTCATTTCAAGACTATGCCTGTTTCTAGCCCTAAAAATTACCCCAAAATAGGAATTGTGGGTGATCTTGGTCTTACTTATAATACAACATCAACAGTGAGCCACCTCATCCAAAACCAACCTGATCTTGTGCTTCTTGTAGGAGATGCAACTTATGCTAACTTGTATCTAACAAATGGCACTGGTTCAGATTGCTATTCTTGTTCATTCTCAAATACTCCTATTCATGAAACTTATCAACCACGTTGGGATTTCTGGGGAAGGTGAAAGTTTGAATCTTTATCGAATCTTGATGCTAAAGTTATATGCTTTTGTTCTTGAAGATGCTGATGAGTGATTGATTTCAGGTTTATGCAGAGATTAACATCTAAAGTACCAATCATGGCTATAGAAGGTAACCATGAAATCGAAGAGCAAGTTGACAACACAACATTTGCAGCTTATAGTGCACGATTTGCCTTTCCATCTAAAGAAAGTGGCTCCAAATCTACTATGTACTACTCCTTCAATGCAGGAGGAATACACTTCATAATGCTTGGTGGCTACATTGCTTATGACAAATCATGTAAAACTCAATCTTGTTTACACTTGTCACTATTTGATTATTCAGATAGCTCTGATACCATGTTAGATATGTGGGGTTCTTGATTTTTTCTCCAAAAGCACTTTTAAAGAGAGAAAGAAACTCTAACGTAAATGAAACTGTATATCTAGCTGATGTGAGACACTAACACTGATATCGATTTGTGTCATTTTTTTTCTACAGCGGATCAATACAAGTGGTTGCAAAGGGACTTGGCGAATGTCAATCGAGAAGTGACACCATGGCTTGTTGGTGTTTGGCATCCACCATGGTACAACACCTATGTTTCTCATTACAAAGAAGTCGAATGCATGAGGGTAGCCATGGAAGAACTACTATACAATGCCGGCGTCGATATAATTTTCAATGGTCATGTAAGTGTTTCAAGCGTTACATGATCCATACAGTGTCAGAGTTTCAATTCCAATCTGGATTCTGTCAGCCACTTAAGCAGACCGTTGTGTACCTGATTTACATCTCACATGACACTCTCGGTCAGTGAATGTAGGTCAGCTCAAGGGTTGCAAGAAGAATATAACCATTTTGTCGAAACTTGAAAGTACTAAAGATTTTAAAATTACTTTTTAAAAATTTTCAGGTACATGCGTACGAACGAACAAATCGAGTGTACAACTACACGTTGGATCCATGTGGTCCGGTCCACATAACGGTAGGAGACGGTGGCAACAGAGAAAAGATGGCGGTCAAACATGCTGATGAACCGGGCAACTGCCCGGAACCTTCCACCACGCCGGATTCATTCATGGGTGGTTTTTGTGCAACTAATTTCACATCAGGTCCAGCATCAGGGAACTTCTGTTGGGATCGACAACCTGAATATAGTGCTTATAGAGAAAGTAGCTTTGGGCATGGGATTCTTGAAGTGAAGAATGAGACACATGCTCTATGGACATGGCATAGAAATCAAGACATGTATAATGAGTCGGGTGATCAAATATTTATTGTTCGTGAGCCTGAAAGATGCCCTGTTGTTAAAGCTAAACCTACACTCAAGCTCTGGAGATCAGCAAAGTGAAGCTTCTTGTTGTTGTATCTGTTAGGGTTCTAAAACAGATTTTGTATAGCATAGATTGTAAGATGGGTCAACCCAATATTTGTTGTATGTTTGAATCATGGGTCCACATGGCTCCACATCGTGGACCCATGATTTATTTTTTATTGCAATCTACCCTGAAAGTTTTTAAGTAGATTATATGATAGATTTCTTCAGTTTCATGTGGCTTTGGTTTTTCTTTAAAGTTAGATGATCATGGTTAAACCAAATTGTGTTAACAAAACTTTACTAATAATCGTCTACCTTCTACATTCAAAGCAAATCATGCCGAAAAAATTAATCTTGATCAATTAAAAGATGAACAAGAAGACTATGAAGATGGTGTTGAGATGTAAGATTCTTGACACGTCGGACGTAGAGAAAGCTTTAGAATTTGGCGGGGTGGTTAATGTGGGTACCATGCCATTGTCTGGACTCAGCCCTCCGAACGGTGGTGGCGGAGTGATGCCTGAACTAGGAGTCGTGATTGGTGTCGTTCCTCCTGCGGAGCTGAAATGATACGGCGGTAAGACGGTGGTTTTGATCCCAATCGGACTAAACATATGAGAGAGATAAGACAAATGAAATGGTGCATATATACCTCGGAGTCGGTGGATAAACGCAAGATCCATAACTGGGGTCTGTTTTGGCGATGGTGGCGGTGCCGGAAAAGTCGCAAGATCCGGGAGCCATTGATTTACGCATGTAATAGCTGTTGAAGGCGTAGGAGGCGTGTGCTTGGATGGTGTTTGGAAGAAAACAGAGACCAGATTGCTGCAATGGTGCACAGTCTGCTCCGGCACTGCATGCGTAGTCAAGTGCCGTTTGTAAAGCTTCCTGTGTGGCGTCGCTTCTGGCAACACACCACGTCGCCGTCGCGAGTCTGCCGGAGAGAAGTAACAGCACCGCCATGAGTGCAGCCACCTTGGACGGTGTACCCATTTTGGGCGAGTGCTTTTGGTCAATGGCCAAGGCACGACAAAAGACGGAAGTGTGTGTGTTGGTAAAGCTACAAAAGATATGGGGAATGAAGTAAGAGAAGAATATGTGTTCACTTTATTAAATACTTAAATTACAATAATCAATTATGCTTGGAAATTTAATAAATTAAAGTTTTAGTTACTAATACTCATCTCTTTCTCTCTCTTTTTTGATGAAGGCGTGCTCACTAAGTGGGCTTATTTTGATTTATGTCTACAAGTTTGATTAAACCAAAGCAATTCGACTGATTTAAGAATTATTTTTTAACTATTACTCTTGTTTAATTTTTTTTTTTAATCAAATCATTTGTTTTGGTTATAAATTTGTAAAGAGCAATCATGTCGCGGATATACCCAAGGCAACAAATAACACTCAAATTCAGAATATTTATACAGCCAAATTAGTGTTAATACATTTCTGTATTAGATCCTTATTAATTTCCTTTCCATGTATGTATTATAGCTATAAAAACCCATGTATCGATTCATTGTAATATATGAGATTCAATTCGATTCATAGTAATATATATGAGATTCAATTCCCTTCGATACCATATAATGGTATCTGAGCAACAAAAGCTCCTTGAGCAAACTCTCTATCCCTCACCCACACACAAAAAAAAAAAAAAAAACACACACACATATACACATACACACACAAAAGCTTTAAGTCAAGGTTGTCAAGATTGGAATCCTACATAAGATTGTTTTTGGGTTTGCAAGATCGAGATCGATATCTTAAAATCCCACAAAATAAATCATAATTTTATTTTATAATTTGAAAACATGAAAAATATTTCAAACATTCGATTTTCCGTTCAAAAGTTATAAAAACTTCCAAATATTAGTTATAAATCACAACAAAAATGATAAAAGGTAAATTGGTAAATGGTAAAAAACATAAAGTGTTATAAAGAAATTCATTTGCAAAAAAATAAAAAAAAATAAAAAATAAAAAAAATAAAAAAATCAAGGAAAGGTATGATAGGATTGGATCCCGATCCTATGATTCTACATACGATCTTACGATATACATGCGATTCTACCTCAAATACGATCCGTTTACGGTCCGGCTCGTTTTTCATACCTAAGATCGTACGATCCTACGATCAGGATCGCAATTTTAACAACCATGCCTCATGTGTCTATTTCTCTGCTACCACTCACTTCCCCAGCAAACTCACATGTGTCAATTTCCCTGTTTGGCGTATGGACAAGTGGAATCCACTTTACTCGAGTTACAACTTTAAACATTCATAGATGACAACCATGAACAACCAAACAAATTCATTGATGACAAGGAAGGAAAGGAATCAAATTCCATAATATCTACCTTGGGATCAACAATATCAAATCCTCATCAACGCACTTCTTGGAAATTGCTTAGAATCAATTCAGCCCCTCGTCTCATTTGCAAGTACCGCCAGAAAATCTTGGATGCGGCTAAATTCCAGTTATGACAGTGCCTCAAGATCTTGTATCATCTCTTTGAAATCCAAATTTGTGAATAACCCTGTAGGTAATCGATCCATTGACTACTTTCAAGATATGTGATCAGTTGTTAATGACCTAGCCCTTACTCAAAGCCCAATCTCTACAGAAGATCTTATGGTACACATTATATCTCAACTAAGAGATGAATATGGCAATATTCTTGTAGTTATCAAGGTACGTGAGCCTCCCCTCTCATATTCAAAGTTTTCTTTAAGAAATTACTTGATTTTGAAAAGGGGCTCAAGGAATCTACTCAAGTTTTCACCATCGTCTTTGATCACCGCCAACTATACCTCCCGCCAGCAAACTCGCCAACCCTTACATAGCTTCTCCCAAACAAACCAAAAATTTTTATCAAACACGCAACAGAAAGGACCAAAATGCTCTCCATGGACCAACCCTCAAACAGGAGGAAATCGACAAAATCATAATTGTATCACCATGTACTGTTAGTTTTACAATATATCGGGGTCATCCTACAAAGGAATGTCATAAATTTTCTAAATTTCTTCATGACAACCACATCTCAGTAACCATTCATCAAGCCCCGAATCATGTTGCCAATGTCACCACAACAAGTCTTATGCAACCCAGATCACCTTTAATCCATCAAATCTCCAAAATTTCTCTAAATATGGTGGTGGTCCATATGAAATACTACTTGGCAACGGTACATATCTAGCAATTTCCCTCACCGTTTCTACACATATCACTACACAAATTAAAACTTGAAACAAACCTCATTTCACTGGAAGTTTTTCCCCAAAGAATTGAATGGAGCACTTTGCATAAAGAAAGGTAAGCCTTACCAGATCAGAATTAAGGAAGCCGGTGTCGACTGTGATACACTGTTCAAAGGCTTTGACAAGCACTACATTCACTTCATTCTAAACTTTACAAAACTAATAATATCTTTGTTGAATTTTTTTCCTCTCATTATTTTTGGGAAGGATATTCGTACGTGGGCATGTTTAATATAAGGGGAGAACATTGATGATGTTTATCATGCCACCATCTCATCCTTATATCAACTAATTAAACTACACTACCATCGCAAAGCCTCTCGATTAGCACCACAAATTAGGTCATCCGTCCATCAAAGTCTTCAATACCATTCCGACTAGTCTAGGTCTTAATTCTAAAATTATGTCAAACTCTCATGTTCATCATCCCTCTTGTGCGGTTAATAAAAGTCACAAACTACCTTTTTGTCCAAATTCTTTTGTTTCTACCAAGCCCTTGCAGTTAATTTACTCGGATGTATGTAGTACTGTTGAAAACCCAATTGACCAATTTACATACTATGTGATATTTCTTGACTACTACTTCAAATATACTTGGCCCTACCCAATACGACATAAATATGATGTTTCTAAGTTATTTCCTCGATTCAAGATACTTGTAGAAAAAATCTTTAACCACCATATTGTGTCTCTCTTTACAGAAAATGGAGGATAATACCTTTGTTTACTTCCTTTCCTTCAATCCCACAATATCTTCTTACTATACCACACCACCACAAATACCCGAACAAATGGAGTCATAGAGCGTTGTTATAGGCATGTGGTTGAAACTAGTCTATCCAACCTTCATTATGTTAAACTCTCATTACACTAATGGTCCCATACTTTTCAAACTGCAATTTATCTTATCAATTACCTACCTACCACCATTCTTGACAACAAAAGTCCTTTCTAAATTTTGTTTCATCAACCACTAACCTACTAGTAACTCAAACCATTTGGGTGCCTTTGCTACCCATGGCTAAAATCATACACTACCTCCAAACTTTAACCCTACTCCTCACAATGTATTTGTCTTGATTACTCCACATCCACATTAGCATACAAGTGCCTCGATCTTGCCACACCACCTATATCACTCACTCAATATTTGATTTATTGAAAACAACTTTCTGTTTCATTATCATCCACACTCATCTACCCTACCCATGGCTAATGACTTCTACCTCGTTCTTACACCCACCTTTCATATCCCACCACATCCATCTACATCCCTTAAAACCCCATCCCCATCTATCTCCACATAACTACCCAACTACCCGATACACAACTCACCCGTATCCTTCATGACTAAATCTCAACCAACCTCTCCAACTCACATATTTGAATCCAACCCTAATTCACCCATCACTTCTAACAGTCATGATACTTACTCTTGTAACACCCGTTTTTCGGATTGATTAGCTTAAGAATTTGAAGTTTTGAGGAATAAGTTTTCAGGAAAAAACCTTCAATCGTAGGGTGGTGGTTTCGTGTCCGCAATGCGGACATGTCATTAAATGAGGTGCAGGTCTGCCTAGTAACCATGATATGGTACTAGTATCTACCACAACGTGGTGGCCACCAAAACCCAAAACTCTAGGTATCGAGCGTTAGGCCCTATTTAAGGAATGTTTGTATAGGGTTTGCTCATTTGCTCAAACCTCTATATTCATAAAACCCTAACCTCTATATGATTCAGGTGTTCATCAACTTTAATATCATCCATAGGAACCACTATGGAATCATCGGCTACACACTTTCATAGTTGAGAGACATGGTATGCGTTGTGGATCTTGCTAAGCTCATCAGGCAGATCCAACCGATATGCAACCTTGCTCACCCGGTCAATAATCCTAAAGGGACCAGTATACATGGGGCCTAATTTTCCCTGCTTCCTGAACCGGATGACATATTTCCAAGGTGACTCCTTCATAAGCACAAAGTCTCTGACCTAAAACTCGAGGTAGGAATGTCGACGGTCGGCATAGTTTTTTTGGCGGCTCTACATAGTTTGTAGTCGATCATGCACCTGGTGTCACACCCCAAAACCGGAACGACGGAAACGTTTGGGGGCGAAGGACATCATGTTTAGTATCACAAGACATGCATCATACTAATCAAAGTAATAAATAACCATTTCATTAGAAAGAAAATATTTACAATGTGTGTGTTCACAAAACATAGAATACACATGTAAATAACAAAACAAGACGTGAAGCTATATTACTCCATCTTCTGAATTCCCAGCACGAGTACCTGTCTACTAGTTTCCGGTGAAATATAAGTTATTTTGAAAGAGTTGATCAACAATTAAGCTGGTGAGTTCATAAGATTTTAGTGATGTAAGTAAGTTGTAATAAATTTTGTAGTAAATTGTAAGTTATGTTTAGAAAAGTTCGTCTGTTCCTCCAAAAAATTCTATATTTCCTGCTTTGATGAAAGATAATTAAAAATGACTCTACAATCCTTTCTATGAGTACTAAATGGATACAAGTTATATAAAACTCAAAGTAAACAAACAATCGATTGTGGGTATCTGCCCTAAGCCCACAACCAAACAAGGAACAGGGAATGAGGCGGATGGCACACATCCCATTGGTTGTTAGGTCATTGTTGTATATAACCCCTGGTGTATTCACTTAGTACTCACAGAGTTAATTGCAATAGTTCCTTTATATTTGATGAAAAGATTCTTTAAGAATATTTCTTGTAAAATAGTAACCACAGTGGTTCCTTCTATAACCACTTAGTTTATACTAGCT